AATGTCTTGGTCTGACTTTCTGGGACAAAAAAACGTGCATCCTGTTGAGTGTGACGTGGAGCCAATCAGAAAGTCAGATGATGGAAGCACTCTGCATTCTCCTCCTCTACCTTGTTTGTTTACATTTGATCTCACAAGATTTTCTGTCTGACCATGTATGACATTTGTTTGTGTGTAGTTTTTGTCGTGGGGCCACACATTGTGGGAAAAAACCTATGACCATACCATACCATACCATACCATACCATAGTTTATTTATATAGCACATTTAAAACGCAGCATGGGAGCTGCACAAAGTGCTGCACAGGCGAAACCAAAACACAACCAATCTAAGCAACTAAAACAGAAGATAAAAATACTGATCAAAGGCAGATAAAACATGAGGAATACTAAGAACACATTAAAACATTGACACAATAAAACACTAAAATGAGTCACTGTCTAAAAGCCACATCGTAGAAGTGGGTCTTTAAATGAGATTTAAAAACCGCCAATGATGGAGCCTGCCGAACTATAATGAGCAACAAGTTCCACAGCTTTGGGGCAGCATGCACAAATGCTCGTTCACCCCATGATTTGTATTGAATCCACATTGTATTACATGGTGTTTTTTACCTCTACATGTGAGATGAGGTTTTGAAAATTGTCTGAATATTTAAAAATACTTTTGTGTAAACCGAGCCTAAGGGTCATCTCTGCAGAAGCAAAAATGATACACTTGAACTCCCAAAAGAGAGCTACTTTGGAAAATGCTAAACCAAAAGGATGTTGTTAACCTTTTCTGAAATCACAATGTGCCTCAAACATCAGACATATCTCTTGTCTTCTCTGTTTAGAGAAATAGATAAACTATTAACCGTGGGTTACTAGGAATCAGGACACATTTAAGCCATACTGACTTTGTTTTCAGGTCTTTTCAGATCAATAAAGAACATAAAAATAGTCCATTGTGCCTTTAACACAATCCCAAATGTCTCCCTTCACCTGCAGCACCGGACAGTCCCCCCACTGAATCGCTGAAGAGGCTCTTGTTAATTATCCTCCTCAGCTGCAGAATGTCACCCCCTTGTGATAAACGGTCTCGACTTTGCCTCGAAAAGATTTCTGTCAGTCTGGAACCATGTTGGTCTGAGATAAACAACGTTTGCAAAGTAAGTAGGATGCCAGGAGAGCTGCTCTCAGTCACAGAAAGCAGGTCAGCCTGGCCGTCGTTTGGCTGCTTGTTTCTCTCTGGCTTATCCAAGCTCCAACCTAAATCTGCTGCTTTTGAAGCCCACTGCCTTCCCACCCAGACTCATTCCACTCTAGGTGAATATTGACAAAACAGCAGTCCGGCTGGACATTAGCATTTTCGGTCACTGCTGGCTTCTCTGATTACTTGTAAGTAAATCTGGCTGCAGCAGAGGGAACGGCACAAAGCCATGCCCAAAGCTTTCTGGGAAACGCAGTTCAACTCTATGAACTTGTGAAAATATTTCCATCAGATGAGAACTTTCTTCCACAGATGCGCTGAAGATAAGTGGCACTATGGTTTAAATTAACAGTTAATTCCCAGACTGAAGCCTTATTTGAACCAGATGTAACCTGCTGGGCATCTCACCCTGCTGAGGGTCTGAGTTGGTTCAGAGAAGAAGACAAAGGATGTTGTTTTCTTGATGTGATTTTCAGATGAAAAACTTTCAGAGATGAAGGTCCAACCAGCAGTGAGGGCCTCATTAGTGTGATAAACGTTAGCTGGTTTACTAATGGATCCTCTGATCTTTCATACTGATGTCAGGTTTTGTTCAACACACATGAAGTTGTTTGGAACTATCTGAGGAATCAGATTCAGAGCTCCAATGCCAGAGACCTGGAGAGAAAGAATCTACAACATTATATATCTACCAGTTATTTTCCTCAATAAAATACGTCCAGTTGCTTCTATTCCTGATCCCATGATCACCAGTACCATCACCTCACCAGAGCACAACAAACATCAATGGATCATAATCATAATCTGTAGCTAAAACCAAAAATACCACCTGACATTTCTGTAAATGTCCATGGACACCACAGACTGCAGAGACGTTGTGTCCCACCTAACAACAGGGAGGAGTGAAGGTTAGAGCTTCCTCTGCTGAGACACAGAGGACATGACTGGGTGGGGCCGACGTCTTACAGCATCAAGGCAGCCATGTTTCATTATTCACTGGTTAGAGCTGGGTCACAGCAGTGTGTGTGTGTGTGTGTGTGTGTGTGTGTGTGTGTGTGTGTGTGTGTGTGTGTGTGTGTGTGTGTGTGTGTGTGTGTGTGTGTGTGTGTGTGTGTGTGTGTGTGTGTGTGTGTGTGTGTGTGTGTGTGTACAGGTCTGAGACTCATGTTGCAGATAAATCACTGCTGATGAATTTGTGAATTTGTGGCAAAAGGATGAATTTAAAGAATTTGGTAATTTAGGCATTAAATATGACTCATTTAAACATCCATCCATGCAGGATGTTCAGACTCGTGTGTATAATGTGTTTCTTGGTATTAAACACATTTATTATTGAACAAGCCTAATCTAACAAGCTATAAACACACTAAAGAGTTGTTCAGTCTAGGATTCCTTCAGCACTTTTAGAAGAGCTGAAATGTGTAAGCCCCTGGTTTACACATTTTAATAGAAGATCTATCTGTACAGATTTGTATTTGTATTCTACAAGAATACAAATCACACAGCAAACACTTTTTCTCTAGCTAAATCACAAATATTTAAATGAATTTGGAGTTTTTACATTTTTATTCTAGTGCTTAATATGTCAGGTAATCTCTCACTGTCTCCACCACCCCCACTCCCACACACACACACACAGAGCTCAGGAGGTTCAGCACCTGCACATTACATCATCTTTTCTCAGTCGGTATAAAAACCACACAACAGAAAATAAAACCATCCCTGTGTAAATAACATTAAATGATCTGACAAAAATAAAGGTTTTATTTGTTCCAGTTTTATATAAATACAAATTGAACCTTTGGTGCAGACAAACGTCTGACCTAAAAGCTGCAAATTTATACCAAGATGTGATCCGAGCAGCAGGAGAGCCTGAGGACCAAACTATTCAGTCAGCCTCCACTTTCTGCATGACTGCTGCTATACCACACACACACACACACACACACACACACACACACACACACACACACACACACACACACACACACACACACACACACACACACACACACACACACACACACACACACACACACACACACACACACACACACACACACAAACACACACACACTAGCAGTTATTTCTATATAAAGACTCCAATTTTTAATGAATGGACAAAGGCTACAAAGGTTATAGGTCAGTCTAGAAAAAGCACAGAGGAAAGTTCTGTAGGTGATCCACTTACTGGACTGACACATTAAAACACTGACCTCCTTTCAGTCCTGAATGAATGAATGAATGAACGAACGAACGGATGAATGAATAAGCATACAAGCAAACAAATGATGGAGTAAATAAGTGAGTAGTTGACATGTTCTCCCTGATGTTTCCTCCCACAGACCAAAATCACAGTTTAAGCCTAACTGTCCCTAGGGGTGACTGGCCATTTGTCTCTGTGTGTGATGGACTGGTGACCTGTCCAGAGTGTCCCCCGCATCTCACCGATGACCACTGGCATCCGACACCAGCTCCCCGTGACCCTACTGAGGAAAAGTGGTGCTGACGATGAGAGTAAATGAAAGTGAACTGAGACTTTCTTCATTTATCTCTGTTCAGGACCATGGACAGTGCCAGGAGGAATATTTAGAGATGAATTTCTTTAATTTTCTTTAGGAAAAGGAAAACAAATAACCAGCTCTAGTCACCAGTTACTCTCCAGCTAAAGAAGTGCAAACTTAAACTCAGGCTTTAATGCTTATTCATCCAGCGGACTGTAGATTTTGTCTTTAAAAAGTTTCATTTAAAATTACTGGACTATAAAAACTAATAAAAGGTTAAAATATTTCAGTGTTAAATCAAACTTAGTCATGCATGTTATGAGTAGAGATCTGAAACTTTAGACATGACTAAACACGAGCACAAAGCAAAGTCACATCACATTTACCATAGATTTCCTGCTCAGGGAATTCCATCCCCATAAAATAATGAGCACCAACAGCAGCATATTCATCTTTCTGTCATGTTTTCTTTATTTTATCATCTTTAAAATGAGTTAAACTGCAAATATGGAAATTTAGAAAAGTTATTTTTGTGGCAATGAAAGTTTGGACTCTCAGCTTGAGGATTTAATATCTGAGAGGTTTAACTATAAATCATCCAATCAGTTTTCAGTCCTTCTTGTTCTTGTTATATAATCTAAAAGCTAAATGTCACACGTTCAAAGCCAGCTCAGTTACAGAGCTTCCTGATTTCCATCCAGGTTGAAAGTGAACGAAGCTGACTTCCTGTCAACAGCAGCACCTGCTGTGACAATATGGCCTCATCGAATTAAAACATTCCCCATGGAGAGGCAGGAGGGACACACAGGGACAAATCTGCTGTGGAAAATCACGGAGAAAATCTGGAGCAAATTGATTAGTTAAATAAAATCAGGATTTATTCTAAGTCGTGTCTTATTGAAGCTAAAAACAGAGAAACGAGCAGAAAACCTGTTTTAACGACACACAGCTGCTACCAAGTGGCTCAGAGAGATGTCCAAGTTCCATTTCCTGTAGTCAAATGCTGGTTTGATTTTTAGCAACTTCACATGACCCAGAATAAAGAGAAGCTGCAGGGTTCCAGCATTTAGACAAGTCTGTCTCATCTGAGCTAACAGAGCAGGCTGTGTTTCTGAAAAATCTGATTATCTAATATAAGAAATCAGAATTAGACAGAAAAGCAAAATAAGTAAGTCAGATTCAAATAAATGATGTTAAAAGAGATGGAGAAGAGGTGGTTTTGTCCATCACAGGAAACACGTTAAAGTTTTGTTTTGAAAGAGACACTTTTACATTTATTTACTGAAATCATAAACAACTCCTACCTTTCACCTACTAACTGAAAATTCCGATCTGTCAACGTTAACCAAACCTGTCAGCACGAAGACGACAACGCAGACAGACGAAGCGAAGAGCAGGAAAGCAAACACAGCAGAGAGGGACGTACAGGAGAGTCAAAGCAATCATTCGTGGCCTGCAGGGATAATCAGTGCAAAGCTGCAGTGTCCCATTCACCGAGGATAAAACCCACTGGATTAATCTGAAGGCAAACACACACACACGTACACACACACTTACATAACTCTGACCACTCTCTCTTTCTTTATTTTCCATCAAACAGGTTTTTATTCACTGACTCAGACCGAGGACGTCTAAACACTCTGGGCCATCTGATGAGATGTTTGTGTAACTGAGGGACTGAACCATCAACAAACAAATCGATGTTTCAAGAGAAGGTTTGCAAATTCTTCCCAGAAGTGGCATTTAAAATCTAATTTGTCTATTTGTAAATGCTGCAATGTCTTTAACCTTCACCACGAAGAGCAGAGCGGATCTGCAGAGATCAGCTGGGAGTCTGGTTACTGCCGCCCCGCCGTGTCATCCTGATCAATAACAGGATCAGATCACTCACAAGTCAGAAACCATGTGCTGGAGGAGCTCAGGGGTGTGTGTGTGTGCGCGCGCGCATGTGTGTGTGTGTGTGTGTGTGTGTGTGTGTGTGTGTGTGTGTGTGTGTGTGTGTGTGTGTGTGTGTGTGTGTGTGTTGAGAAACTACTTTGAGTGAAGCTGTTACTTCAGCTGCCAGACAACCAAAGGTGTGAAATAAAGAAAATGAAAGAACATTCCGTGTTTGTATCGAGGGGGCTGTCTGACAAAAGCATGAAGTCCACTTCCTATTTAGTAATCATGTCACGTTCCTAAAAACACAATTGAAACTGATCAGTAGAACACACCAAAGACCATTTTATCATGGGTTAAAAACTATTACAGGCGATATTTTGTGTTGCTTAAACCTGTTAAATGAGACACAGCTTCATTGCTTGTTTTCCCTCAAATATTCAGTTTTTCTGATTGTTTTTGAATGTACTTAGTTTAATTGGAAATTCTTTATCCAAAAAAGAAAAACAGAAATGGGACAAAATACCAGCCACGTTGCTCTGTTAGGGTTAGATCTGCTGATTCGTTCATCCTCTGCTATTAAAGCAAATGAAATAAAGTAGAAGAGAGGAAGAGAAGAACATTTCACTTTGGAGGAAAATGAGCTCTGAAGAAGGTTTAAAATGGATTTCTCAGATAATATAAAACACGTGTTTTAAAAATAAAAATATCTGTGTGAGGAATCAGAAAACTTTGTTTTAAATTAAAAAATGAAAATTACCTTTGCTATGTGATTTGTCTGCCAGAAAAGAGTTTTTTAGGTACGCCAGTGACTTCACTTATAAGATATTTATGAAATAATTTATCGACCAATCAGCCGTCCCCTTAGGGTGAGGAATGTGAGCTTGCTGCTCATTTTAACACTCAAACAGGAAGCAGCACTGACGAGAGGCAAAGACGTGTTCTGGTCTGGACAGGAGGCTGGTGGGGGTTTCTCACCTCCTTCTGATGGAGTGGTGGTGATGGTGATGGTGTTATGAGCCAATGACGGAAACATAGAGTCATGTTTTCTAACAGGTTTTGGTTTCTGGGTTCAGCTCTGATCGATGAAATAATGTGGGTAATGGTCACTTAAAGCCAAATGTGTTTGTTTATCATGTTTAGACAGATCTGCTTTAGTCATGGAAGCTGATAAAAGACAATAAAACAATGAAATATGTGAGCTCAATATGAAAGCTGGTGAGTCCTCAGTAGAGGCTTGAGTCCCTTTAAGTCTGAGAGGAGCATGTCCCAAGGTGTGGCGCTTCCCTCAGACCTGGTTTTAGATCAGCCTCCTTCTGCCTACAGAGCTGATTTCCTGCTTGTTTACTCCTGGTTACAAATGGCATCGAGCTGCCAAACAAAGACCTAATGCACGTGCTGACCTGCTTAAGAGTCTTCCTGAGCTCTTTGTCCTCTCTGACATTAACACGAGTGCAGAGGTAGGACCGGAAATGGAGACAGCCAATCAATGTGTCTTAAACAAGAGGAAAAGACAACATTTGTCCAAACAGACACAAACTCTGATTGGGTCCAGGTTATGTCTTCAGGAACAGGAAGTGGTGGATTACTCTGAACCTCAGTGACCAAAAACACTTCATCAAAGCAAATGACTTTACATAAAGTTCTGTTTTCATCCACCCAGAGCTGTGTGATCTCCGTGATGCAGACAAGCTTATTTTTGTGTCTTATGGTGATGGTGTGCATTTTCCCTGCCGATCGGGGACAGCGCATACCTAAATCCTTTAAAGCAAGCAGTATTTTTGTGTTCGAGTGAGACCTCACCAATGGAAGGCCATTAGAGTCAGAGATCCCTGGGAGCACAACCTCCAGCAAAATGTCAGTCACATCAGACTCCCTTTCATCGCTGGCAACGGGTGAAGAGAAAAATGTGTAAAACAACGTTTATGAATGGTGAAAGTTTTGTAACCGTTTGTTACAAATCAGTTAATGTATTTTGTCCTCACGGGCTCCTGTAGAAGGAAACATGGTGTCTAATATGACGTCGCCCAGAGACTTGGACCTGCTCTCGTGTATTTTAGACCTGGTTTTTATATGTTATATGTTATAATATATGTTATATGTTATGTTATATGTTACGAAGCTATGTTATATATTATAACATATGTTATATGTTATGTTATATGTTATGAAGCTTCCAACATTTTTCAACAACTGGAAATCTTTTAATTCATTTTCAACTACACTTTGATGGATGTTTCCAGAGATTAACGGTAAAAACTACACACTGTTTCTTTAAAGGTTTCACATCAGATCAAATTTCAATAAAGTCTCAGTTAAAGTAAAAGATGCAGTTCTCAGCTGATTATGTCATTTGTTAGGGTCCACACCAAACCATCATGGACCTGTGTGTAAATGTCCCCCGAGTCTGCCCTTTCTGTAAATGTCCCCCGGGTCTGTCAAGGTCAAGGTCACATTTATTTCTAAAGCACACTTATTATTGCTTCCACAACCCAAAGTGCCATACAACACAGAAGATGAAATGGCAAACAAGTATAACTAAAAACCATAATACCATAACAATCAGCAAGTTAGGATAAAAACAGCATTACATCACACAATTATAAAATCAATAAAAATGAGAAAGAACGACAATGACAAAATAAAATCATCCTAGATAAAAGCCAGGTTGAATAAATGAGTTTTAAGCAAGGACTTAAAGACATCCAGACTTTGTGAGGTCCTGATCTGCAGAGGAAGACTGTTCCAGAGTGTAGGACCGGTCACAGAAAAAGCCCCATCTCCTCTCGTCTTTAGGCGAGCCTTTGGAACTGACACTAAAACTGTGAGCCCGACCACAAATTCCTGGTAGGACTGTAGGGTGACAATAAATTATCTGTATAAGGAGGGGCCAGACCATAAAGTGATTTATAAACAAAAAGCAACAATTTAAACTGAACCCTGTAATGCACTGGCAGCCAGTGAAGGGAAGCAAGCACTGGAGAGATGTGATCATGCTTCCTTGTACCTGTTAAAAGGCGGGCTGCTGCATTTTGCACCAGTTGCAAGCGGTTTAACGAGGAATGCCCTAATCCATAGTACAGTGAATTGCAGTAATCTAGTTGACAGGAGACAAAGAGATGAATAACATGTTCAAAGACAGTTTCCGGCAAATAGCACTTAACCTTTGCAAGTTTTCTCAAGTGATAAAAACCAGACTGGACCACTGCACTTATCTGTCTGTCCAGTTTAAACAAACCATCCATAAAAAAAAACACATAAGGCTTAACGAAATCCAAAAGGGAACCAAGTGGGCTCACCGCATCCTTTAACAGGTCTCCAGAGCCAAAAACTAAAATCTCTGTCTTCAGGTCATTCAATTTCATAAAATTAATTGACATCCATTGCTTCAAATCAGCTAAACAGGCTATTAAAGAAACAACTGCATCCGGGATGAGTGGGAGATATATCTGAAGGTCATCAGCAAAGCACTGAAAAGTAATGTTGTGTGTGGCGAAGATAGAGGACAATAGTAAAATATACAGTGAGAAAAGTGCTGGCCCTAAAATGGACTGTGTGTAAATGTCCCCTGGCTCATTTACACACAGTCTTTCGACCCAGGGGACATTTACTCACAGAATAGAGTCTATCCTGTGAGTAAATGTCCTCTGGGTCTGTCCTGTGTGTAAATGTTAATTGACATTAAGCACCTTTATAATTATTCTTCCGCGGACGTTAATGCATCACCTAAATATCATTGTCTTTTAGGGGGGTTCACCCAACATTACCCAAAAATCATCATTTGGCCTCCATAGCACGTGGCCAATTTCTTGTGCCAGTGGTCAGGTCCCTTTTAAACATTTCTTCAGAAATTTTCCAGTTTTTTTCCCCTATTCTATGCTACTGAAGTGGTTTCTTCATTCTACCGGTCTGACAGTAAACAGCCATCGGGGTTAATTACCTTTTTCACATCCTAGCAGTCTGATTTCAATAATGTAGTCCTTTAATAAAATAAATCATTATCCTAAAGGTGCATTTTGTGTGTATTCAGGTTATTTCTGACTGATCGGAATATTTTAAGTGGCAACAGTAAATCTGAAACTCTTGATCACAGCTCAGAAAAAATGTTACTCTTTGTGTATTTTTCCCTCTTCACGGATCATACCTGTTTCTGAACTAAAGACCCAGAGGTTACTGGAGCTGTCCGAGGTGCTGAACCTGAATCTCACATCTTTCTAACCCGCCTCTCTGACATCCTGACCAATAATTTATTCATCAAACTAAATCAGAATCGGGCTAAAAGTCAAACAAAGAAACTACAGACATCAGAACAACAATAAAACATGAGTATCTGAATTTTCCACTGACGTAAAACAACAAACACAAACAGCAAAGCGTCTTTTAACAAGCTGACCTAAAAACCAAATGTATATCAACAGCTCAAACTTTATTTTTAGGATGATTAGAATAAACCAGGACTGGTTTGATCCTACCTTTTAAACTTTCTTCTGTTTTCTGTTCGGTGTATGAGTCTGAGGCGCTGGAAATGTCCGTCCGCTCCTCCGCTGCCGTTTAACGGGACTACGCTCCGGTAGAAACCATCGACGTTACCGCCCCACCCCC